TCGGGTTGAGCTGTTTGGGGATGTATCTTTCTTTAGAGTCCTGACTCTGATCTCCCACCTTTACAACAATGTAGGGGTCAGCTTTACCGTTAGGGTCGGTGGGAGCCAGGCTGGAGGCCTGTAGGACAACATTGGATTAGTAGTTGTTGAGAAGAAAACAAGCTGGAGGAAAAATAAATAATATGACAAAGGCAAACTTGTTTGTTTTAAATGCAAACTGTGCTTCAGAGAGAGAGAGAGACAAAAACAGCCCACTACCTTCACAATGTAAACTCTGACTAAGACTTTGACAGGTGAATTTTTAGGGACTCCATTAGTGATCTGACATGTGGTGTCATCTCTGTCCTCCGGATCGATGGGATAAACCAGGAAGGAACCCTGTGGAATAGGAGCGGAGACAATAACAAACCTCTTCACAGAAACACAGATATAAATAAACAGAGAGCTGCTTCAAGCTCTACCTTGTATTTTCCCATCAGCCTCTCCTCTTCATCCTCCTCATCATCCTCAGTGATGGCTCGGCCTTTGAACAGGGGGAAAACCTTCAGCCAGTCCTGAAACTCACTGAACTCTGATTCCAGATCGCTTTCATACAGCTGAAGAAAAACAGACATTTATTCCAGTTTACATCTGCTGTCTGTCAGCAGCATCATTTATAAACTCCTAGGATTTTCATTTAAATATTCAGTCTCATACTTAATCCAGATATTTCAGTGTTTATAACATTATCAGAGCATCTTCCATAAACTCTCCAAGTGGGTTTGTTTCACTAGGTTCTCAAGGCACCAGTTATGACTGTTTCACTCTGTCTTTTTGTAGCACATGGTTTCTTCCAATAAACGATCCATTAATGTCATTTTTACACCAGCTATAATTGGCCTGGCTGCACTCTGTGATGAAAACATATATTTAAACATTTCCATTGTTAGTTGTTCAGTACTGACTTTTTTCAGACCTACTCAGGAGAAGGTATGATCAGAGCCAAAAAAGATCAGCTCTGTAAAAAACAATAATGGTTTCATGATCTTGGCTCTAATGGCTAGGTTTGGCTCCTTTTTAAATTCTGCTTAGCTCCATCCAGCGCTCACTGTCTGTCACTTGATCCACCTGTTCCTGCTTCTATTTAAGCCTGTCTGTTCCCAGCCATTGGTACCAGATTATTTGAGCCTAGTGTGAGAGTTTTCTAGCTATTTGTGAGTTTCTGATTTCAATGATCCTGACTAGTTTCTCTCCCTGGACTTCTGAGTTTTGGCTGACCCTGTTCTGCTCTTTTGGCTGATCAATTTTCGGACTATTACCTGGATTCTGCCTGCTAACTGCCTTTGACCTGTCTTCATACACTGGTTTGGACATCCCTTTGGTGCCTCTTCAGACTTCTGATCTTCTGGCCTGGAAACCTGCTCCTACTACAGCACTGGTTCTGGATTCTCTCTACTGATACTTCTGCTCATCAGCCTGCTCAGCTTCTTTCCAAGAACTCTTAAGGCGACACCCTCTGCATGCAGTGGAGAACCAATCAGTCTGGATTCAACTCCTTCCTCTAGGCTCAGACTTAACCCATAACCAGGTTAGTGACTTACCTGCTCATTATCGTGGCCCCGTTTTATTTTCATAGTCACTAACCTGAGTTTTCACTTTTACAGAGGATCCAGTGAACCTGTCCCTGCTGTTTAGCCACTGTGTGCAGGGCAAATATTAAATGCTTGTTTTGATAAAAATCTGATCTGTCTGCTTGAGTTCTGGGTTATATGTTCTGAGCTTCTGACAGATGGAAATGTTTAAAAATCTGGTGTGGTGCAGTGGAACCAAGCCCTGTGGAGCCGGTGGAGAACGGGTAACATATATCTGGAAGCAGTGAACAGTAGTGATCAGCTATCTTCTAGTAGAGGTCAATGTCTTTCTAATGGACATATTTCCAGGCAGCTGTTTCTACATGGAGTTTAAAAATATATTTCTAAGTTTAATATACATATTTGAATGGCTGATAGTTGACTTACCTTCTTTTTGTCTTCTAACTTAGTAATGGTAAAAACAATAATCAAAAATTGTAAATAAAGTAAATTTTCTCTGCTAGTGATTTCTATGATGATTACGAGAACAAAATGAAATCCAGATAAAAATTGTATTTACTTAAGCTTTGCCTGATTCATATTAATCCAGTTAAATGTTTCAATCAAAATACTGGAGTGGTGAAAGTCATTTATAGCTCAAAGCAATCTACTCTATTTGTTTTACATACTGAGTAGTTGTTTTCCCACCTTTAATGTGGCAATCTTCTTGCGTTTAGGGGGCTCAATCTCAACATCATCAAACTCTTCCTCCTCTTCTTCAATATTTGCCATGGTCAGATTTACTCCATCTATTGAAAGTCGAGAATGTGTTTAGTCATCTTTAGTCATCTTTGAGGATACTACATGTTATTGTTAACAAAAATGTCCCTAGTAGGACATATGTACTCACATTACTGGAAGCAATCAAAACTCAACCAAATTATGCATTTTAATTTAGATTTAGAATACTGTTCATTTTAAAACCTAAGTTTTTGCACAACATGGTTTAACCAACCTCTTTCGGGTAATGGGGAAGTGGCTCAAAGGGTTATATGTTTCTAATATAAAGTTAGATGATAGAGGAAATAATACCACTAAGTTAACCTGTACCTGTCTCTGCTTCATCCTCCATCTCTTCTCTCTCTGCAGCCTGCAAACATAAAAAGAGAATATTTCTAATTGATTGAAAGATGCATAACGTATCTCTGTTATTTTCATCTGTGTCAGAGATTCATAAATCAGTAAAAAGGGAAAGAAAAACGAAAAATGGTAAACAACCCAGAAACTAATTGTAGCCCTTTTCCAGCAGTGTAAGAGAAAAATAACTATATATTGGGATATTCTGCCTTACTAGAGATATAAAGGTGTATAACTATAAACCTTCGATTCCCAGCTCGGGGTCTTTCTGCATGGAGTTTGCATATTCTCCTCGTGCGTGCATGTGTCTAAATTCTCCTTATGTTATGGTTCTTCCATTTTGGACACCCCACCTTGACACCTTAGGTGTGAGTGTGTGCATGAATGATTGATTGTCCTGTTTGTCTCTCTGTTGCCCTGGGATAGACTGGGGATTTGTTGAGGGTGTACCCTGCCTCCCGCCCATAGAAAATTGAAAATAGGCACCAGCACCCCTCATGACCCCACCCTCAAATGAAGATTGTGTTTTTAATGCAAGAAAATGTTAAAACCACTGAGGTAGTATTGGTATTGGTAAAGGATAGAGGAAGTCCACTTCGACAAATTTGTGTCTCACCTGCTTCTGTTGCTCCTCCACTGAGGCGTAGTACTTGGACCACCAGTCCAGCTCTTCTTTCTCTGGAGCCTCCTCCTCTAGCTCCTCCACCTTCTTTTTCAGCTTTTTCAGTGGAGCCTGAAGGCGGTTATTCATGTAAACCACAAAAAGTCAGCAAGCATGTTTCTTTATCTAGTTATGGGCTGTTAGAATATAGCTCAGCTTTCAGGGTTTCATTTTTGTATCCTCATAATCAGAAGGATATCAATGTACTCACTTTCACTATCTTCATAGGGTTAATAGGAATTTTTGACTGTTTGACTGGTAAACTGCTGAGTCCCATGTTCTTCACTGACGTCAAGGGGTCGACCTTCATTGGATTCTGCCTTACTAGAGATAAGCACATAAAAAAACATCTCTGTAAGAGGGTAAGAGTTGTGTGCTATGGAGAAGCATCACTCTTCATTAAATCAGCTTAAAATTTAGCTTCTTAGGAAAGCAAAGGTATGTTTGTAAGTTAGCAGTAAGCAGGGGCAGACAAGGCGCCAGCCATTTCAGCACTGGACAGTACCACCCCAGGTTAAATCAGGTTCAGCACTGGACAGGGCCTGTGGTGACTGCACAGCAGGGGCAGACAAGTTAAATGTTTTGGCTGAGGGCTTCTGGGGGGCTGCACATCACTCAACCTGTGAAACCTGTCCATCAAATTCTTTCAAATATTTCAGAATTTAACCCGTTGCCATTAACCAGCACTTCAGACAGGAGCCTAACTCCTTCAACAGCGCCCATACGAGGCTCCTCAGGTTCAGCACTGGACAGGGCCTGTGGTGACTGCACATCAGCGGCAGACAAGGTGCCAGCCATTTCAGCACTGGACAGTACCACCGCAGGTTAAACCAGGTTTAGCACTGGACAGGGCCGGCTCGCAAAGTCCCACCGCTGTACCAGGGGTCCGGCTCGCAATTTTTTCTAAGCCCCACCGCTGTACCAGGGCTCCGGCTCGAAAAGTTTTCTAAGTCCCACCGCTGTACCAGGGCTCCGGCTCGCAAAGTTTTCTAAGTCCCACCGCTGTACCAGGGCTCCGGCTCGCAAAGTTTTCTAAGTCCCACCACTGTACCAGGGCTCCGGCTCGCAAAGTTTTCTAAGTCCCACTGCTGTATCAGTAGCCTGACGTAGTCCTACTCAATTCTAGTCAGAATATGAGTCTGATACTGCTCCATAGAGCTGTGATTATG